CCATTTGAAGAGACAAAGTATACAGTTCTTTTCTGATAGGTTTAAGAAGTTTGTCAGTTGGCAAAAGTATGTATCTTATAGTGGTGATTATATGGAGTAGTAAATGCAAGTAACAAAAGAGCTCATTTTAAGGATTTTCCTATTTTGTTTATTAAACTACTGTATTTAACCCAAATTTATGAAGATGGAGGTATTACTTTTCATTCAGCTCTCATAGTTTAACTTCTATGAATCTACAAAAACCCAGAGATACTGTAGATAAATCAGTAGTGGAGGCAGCTTCTTCTGATTGTTCTAGTTGCATAATACTAAATCTATTTTGTTATGAAGCTATAATAAAGCAGAATATAGATAAAGAATAGAAATAACAATACTATAACAGACTGTGGTGTGTTATGAAATCAAAACATGAGCTTTTAAATTATAAAGAATATTCCCATAACATATAATTCAAATAGGGATTTTTTCCCCTTTTAATCGGCTTCACAGGGCCCCAGGGAGAAGAAAGATTTGGGGGGCTTTTTTAAATGTCAAGAAATCTGACTTTGCATGTAATTCTGGTAGGTATTCTAAAGTACTGGAGCCAGATAAAAAAAAGTCAATTGTGGCTCTTCTAGAACTCAGGAGTTGAACTGACCATCACTGATACTTGAATCAATGGGCATATGAGCCACTAGGAGGTCTTTCAAATATAATTTCGGTATATGCAGGGCACAGTGTGTCAATACCAGAAATTTATATTGGTTTCTTTCATGAATATCCAATCAATTAATATTTGGCAATAATTATAACTATAAAAAATTGGTTACCACTAAAGACTATCACAGGGCCAAGTGGTTTGCAAGACCACCTCTCGCTAAGGGAATCTGATCATTTCATTAGGTTTGGCAGGTGAGTGCACTCCAAGTCCTTAAATGTTGCCACCCAGTGGGACCTACCCTGTGTGCTTTCTTGCTGGTGGCCCTTACCATTTGGAGATCCCACAGGACTTTCCCTTCCTAACTTCCAAAAAGCCATGAACATTTGGCTTTTCCAGATCTTGAGATGGTAATGGCTGGAGCCCAGAGAAACTTTTTTTTTCCTGGCTGTATGGGTATGTGTTGTATTTAAGGATACCAGGAAGTTATTTAGATTGTTTTTTTTATGTTTTTTAAACTGATATTATTTTATTGATTGTGAGTTACCCAGGGATATGCTGCTTATGAAGGTCAGCTACAACGATCTGACAGGAGATAGATAAGACAGATATACGGATGGACAGACAGACAGATAGATATGGTGGGTGGGTGGATGGATGGATGGGGTGAGAGGAAGGTCCAGAATAGTGCAAGCAGTAGCACTTTGGACAGAGTGAGGTACAACAACTCTTTTTGGCAACAATCAGGGATTAAATCCAACCTTTCAAACATAGGCATACATGTAGTCAACTGATTCAAAAAAGGATAGCTTGTTTGAAATGCTGTCAGAACTGTACAAATATAGTCACACTGTAGACTTAGGATGATTGAATTTCAGCATTACGTGGAACTCCAAAGGACTGACTCTCCAGGAGAATGGACTATTTAGCTCTCCTGATAGGTGACCATCACATTTTATTATCCAGTCTCTTTCCCAGAGGTCACTGACACAGATTTCTTCTTTCACAGTAGTGGCATAATGAGTTATTGCTCTCACAGAACTATCCATATTAACTGCAAGAATTTCATCTTAGTTACGTGCCATCAGTAATACTGAATCAGTGATTACCAAAGTGAGTTCATTTCCCAGCATTCATCTCTTTACACTAAAACTGCATCATTTGTCATTTTATATGCTAGCATATTGGATGTTGCAAAAAGTCAATGTGCAGCCTGTTGTTGATCTATCCATCTACTACTGCCGACTTTCATTTTCATTGTAATGAGGCCAGCATGTCTTTTACAAACATAATCAGATAACTTAAGGAATAAGATCATATGGGAACATTCTGTTTCTGGAGATGAAAGCAATCTTCAGATGTTAGTAGGTAGGTTCAGGTTTCTTTGTAGTGAACGTACATAGTTGTGCGCTTGTCTTCTTGTTAAGCATTTTTGAAGAAAACTAGGTAAATTAGCTTTTCTAATGATGGGAATTATTGCTGTGACATAAGTTCATAGATTGAATCTTTCACAGTTTGTTCCCCCCTCCTTTTTTAAAAAATCTGAACCTGGATAGTATAATCCTGGGAAGATTGTCTTTCTCTCCTTCAACAGGGCTACTCATTTATAATTCTTGTCTCTTTCTTGTTCTTTAGGGATTGATGGATCCCTATGGGCTTGAAACCCTTTAGAAACCATTTATGCTCACTTCCTTGCTGAAAGCATACCTAGGTCTTTCTGAATGTGGGCAAGAAATGTTTAAGACTGTGTGACTTTTGTCTAGAATCCAGCAGATTAAGAAGTGCCTCTGTGCATACAGCACACTATCTTCTCTTTAGATCAGCCTACTCTTCTGACAAAGAGTAGTGTCTATTCTTTTGATATGTTACATAAATGTCACCATTGAAACAGTTGACAATATCAAAATAAAGAGATATCCAATGGTGGGTCAATCTTCATTCTCCTGCCTTAGATTTAGTATCTTAGTTCTAAAATACATCTTTCAGATCGAAAATCATCGAAAGAAAATAGGTCAACCAGTTTCCGGTCCTCGCTTATCTTGCTGGACTGTTTTCTTCATTTCAAACCTGTTGTTTCACCTGTTAACCTTCCCTTAGTTTCGTCTTATTTTTTTCTGGCTAGTGATTGGGATTCTAGGAGTCATAGTCCAATATTTCTATAGGGCAGAATAAAAGTTATTGCCCATCTCCCCTAATTTTTGAGTTGTTACATTCAGAACTGCACACTTTTTAAATTAAGCTTTTTAAAAGACTTTCTATCCCATCTTTATTATTTTTATAAATAACTAAGACAGTTACCATTATATTTATACTATTATATTCCTTCCTCTCTTGTATTTCCCACAACAACAATTCTGTGAAGAGGAATGGCCTAAGACAGAATGACTGGCCCAATTCATCCAGCTAGCTTTCATATCAGACTAGAACTATACCAGTCTAGCCTAGTATCTTAACCAACAAGTCTAACAGTTTTTCTTTACTGTTTTTTGTTTTGTTTTGTATGGCAATCTTTTCTCGTACCAGGACCTATTTGGTCAAAATTTGCTGTGAATTCTTGGATTGGATTGTAAAGAGAATTGGATTGTAATTTGACATATTAACTCCTGTTTATCTGATATCACTGAATCCTCTGTTGTTGACATAACCGGGAAGCTAGTTACAAAAGTGATCTCTTAACTGCTTAATTATTGCTTTTTCAGCAAAATACCATTTTAGATTTGCTCCTGCCTTCAAACAAAACAAGCCAGAACATTTTTTTTAATTTGGGTAACAGGTTGGATCAAACTAGCCACTGTTGTTATACATTTTGATTATGTCTGGCCTTACGGCTGTAATAAACAGATTGATTGATTGACTAAGATATTAAGTTATGGTTCTGATGTGGGATCAAAATGCTAGCTTTGGAGGGAGATATATAAATCAGCTTAAGAGTCCCTTGAGGTCTCTTGGACTACACCTTTCATCTTCCTCAGCCTAGGTTCCCATGTTGACTGAGGGTTTTTCTACCCACCCGTCCACTTGTATGGGGTCACTGCACTCTATTCCTGAAAGTTTGCAATGTAAGATATTAATCTTTGGTGGGAATAGTAGCACAAATAGCCCTATTTCTTAACAATATAATTCTTGGAGAAAGAGTGCAGTGTTGTTATTTTGGGCTGATTCTCTGATGGTTGGAGATACCATAGCTTTTGTAAAGAGCTAGGAGATCAAAATGGATAATTTCCTTTTTTTAATTCTCTTTTGTGCTCGTATGGCTGATGTTCCATTTTTCTCCTAGCTTTTTGTTTTGTTCTGATCTGTGTGCATGCCTGCCTGCCCCTCCTTTTAACTACTCCAAAGCGTAAGAACCTTCTTTCCAATTCCCAGAACATTTTTTAGCTTTGTAAAAATGTTCCCTGGTAAATTATTTCCATTTCCCTGCCCTCTGCAACTATTCAGCAACACTATAGTGATTACCCAGTTGCCCAGGCTGACTGCAGGGAGCAGAGTCAGCTGGAGTAATAGGCCACCCCTTATAACTGGAGCTCGCTCAGACAGCCCCTTCAGAAGCAGGCAAGAGGATCCCTTAGAATAGATGAAGCACAAGCTCCTGCTTTGACTCCTCTAATGCTGATGGTTGGGGTGATGGGTAGGAAGCACATGGAGAAAACACATGGGAAAAAACTGCTCAAGATCTTCTTAGCCTCTTTAGGGGATTCTCTCTCTCTCTGGAGATGCAAAAGTGGGAAAGGGTAACCAATACCAAATGCTCAGGTATGTTGTTTGTATATAGCTTGTAACTTTAATCTACATGTATGTGATGGATACAGGGTTAGAGTTGTAAAATGCTCCTGTTTGGCTGGCATATCCATTAGGCAGTAATTCTATACATATGGAAGTGGTCATATGTCACATTGAAACTCAAATGATTCTCCTTTTTTCCCTGCTAGTTTTCTTTTTGCAAGAAATAAGGCACAAAACTAAAAATAAATCACATAGTTGGTTTGGGACAAAAGAAGGTCTGTGTGGCTATAAGTATACCTTCTTTCATAAAAGTGTCCATGAGTAAAGTTTTATATGAGTACTTTAAGAGGAGAAATGATTTGCTGGTATGTAGCAACTATTTATCAGTCTGTAATGTAACATGTATTTTTGTTTAGAGAACAAGGCTAAAATTAGAGTGAATCTGTTTGGAGCAGCTGTTTCAAAGAATATTTTTAAACATTATCTGCAGTCCTTCCTTCTTGCACAAAAACTGAAGAATTTATCGGGGGGAGGGGGAAGATGGCGAGTAGCCATTATCCCTTTACAACAACATAATGAACTTTAGATGACTGTTATAACCGTAACTGTTTTTGCTCTTACTTTGTTTTTTTAGGTCTCTGCTCCATTATGATAAAGAAGACTGAGAATGCATCCCTCTTCCTTAGTGTTCACCACCTGCCCACTTGCTAGGACTTGGGTCCAGAATGAACATAGCATCAGTATTTAACGCCTTGCTAGTGTGCATCCTTGCTGCTGTGCTGTGGAAGTATATCAAGCTGCACGACCATGTCTTTGTGCTGGAAGAGGAGTTAGTCCTCATGCGCCAGTCCCAGGAACTCTCTCAGGTCAGCATTGACTATCATGCTGCACTTCAAGCTCTGGTAGAAGATGGCACCAAGATGGTGTGCACTGGCAGGATGCATACTGATCGTATATGCCGTTTTGAGTCTCTCTGTTATTCCACCGAAGCTGAAGAATTTGTCTTCTTCCATAGCAGTTCTTCCGTCATGCTTCCAAACTTGGGCTCCAGAAGATTTCAACCTGCCTTGCTTGATCTCTCCACAGTGGAGGACCATAATACCCAATACTTCAATTTTGTAGAACTGCCTGCTGCAGCTCTGAAATTTATGCCAAAGCCTGTCTTTGTTCCTGATGTAGCACTGATTATGAATAGGTTCAATCCAGATAATTTAATGCATGTTTTCCATGATGATCTCCTTCCAATTTTCTATACAATGCTGCAGTTCCCAGATATGGACTTGGAGACCAGATTATTCTTCATGGAAGGCTGGGGTGAAGGACTACACTTTGAGCTATACAAATTGCTTAGCAATAAGCAACCACTCCTAAGAGAGCAGCTTAAAACACTTGGGCGGCTCCTGTGCTTCACCAAGTCATACGTGGGTCTGTCTAAAATCACAACCTGGTATCAATATGGTTTTGTTCAGCCCCAGGGGCCGAAAGCCAACATCCTGATCTCTGGCAATGAGATCCGACAGTTCAAAACATTCATGATGAAGAGGCTAAATGTGAGCTTGGAAGGAATACCTGGTGAGGAATATATAATAGTGTTCAGCCGAACCATCAATAGACTAATCCTAAATGAGGCAGAGCTAATTTTGGCACTTGCCCAAGAATTTCAGATGAAAACCATTACCGTTTCCATAGAAGACCATACATTTTCAGAGATAGTACGCTTGATTAGCAATGCATCCATGCTTGTCAGCATGCATGGAGCTCAACTTATTATGTCTCTCTTCCTGCCAAGAGGAGCCACTGTTGTGGAACTCTTCCCTTTTGCCATAAATCCTGAACATTACACACCTTACAAGACATTATCTACCCTTCCTGGTATGGATCTTCAGTACATTTCATGGCAAAACACTGAAAAGGAGAATACTGTGACTTATCCAGACAGACCCTGGGATCAAGGAGGAATTGCCCACTTAGACAAAGCAGAACAAGATCGCATTATAAAGAGCAATGAGGTTCCCCGGCATCTGTGTTGCCGTAACCCAGAATGGCTTTTCCGTATCTACCAGGACACCAAAATTAACATTGCTTCCCTTATCCAGGTGATCAGGCAAACGGTGAAAACCAAACCAGGGCCTAAGAAGCAAAAGTGGACTAGTGGCCTCTATCCAGGCAAAGTTAGAGATGCCAAATGCCAGGCCTCTGTCCAGGGTACCAGTGAAGCTAAGCTCTCTGTATCGTGGCAAATCCCTTGGAACCTGAAATACTTGAAGGTCAGAGAAGTAAAATATGAAGTTTGGATTCAGGAGCAAGGAGAAAATACGTACATGCCTTATATTTTGTCCCACCAAAACCATACATTTTCAGACAACATTAAGCCATTCACGAACTATTTGGTGTGGATCCGATGCATTTTCAACAAAAATCTCCTTGGGCCCTTTGCAGATATGTTAGTTTGCAGTACATAATTGTTCTCTAGCTACTAGCTTCAAAGAAGACAAACCCAATCCTGGTGTTCTGTAGTTTAAGAAGATGGATAAGAACTTGCAGACCATGATAGTGCCTATGTGTCCATTTTATTGCATTCTGAATGTCTTCTCCATTCTGTGTAACATTACATCCAGTTGGTAGATAAACTCTCTTAGTTTTTTTAAAGAGGCAACAGGCATGAGGCTACAAAATCAGTGGAATAATTGTTTTATCTTGATTGTTCTAGGAACTTTTCTCTCTTTTGTGTGGTAAATCTTTTAAATATAGCTTTATACTAGAATTTGGTTATACTGGATGTACAATTTTTAAGTTATTTTTTGTTTGTTCCCCCAAAGTTCTGTATTCCAGAGCAGAAATTCGGTACCAGAATATTTATTAAACTGTTTAAAACCTATTTGAGCACATTTGTCTTTGATATTTATGCATTAAATAGAACTCTGTTCAATTTGAATAGGACATTGAAGATGATCAATGTTGATATGGTTGAAAAAGCCAACAAAAGATGAAATGATCTTTTGACTTGAGAAGGCAAAAGATGAAGAAAAATCCCCCAGTGCATTCATATGGAAGATGTAATTGACCACTTGTTTAGATTACTTTTTCCTCCAATGAAAATCCTTTCCTGGTCATATGATCTAAAGCAGAGCTGTTAATAAGGAGTTTGAAAGAGTTCCAGAAATCCTGCTCTGGATGCTTTCCCTAAATTATTTTTGTTTTATTGCTTTTTATTCCTATTTTTGTAGTCGAGTGTTTATTTTTCATAGGTACAATAGTTGGGTATTCTTTTTACCCAATCCCAATGCCTAGGATGAACATCTGATAAAAAAAATATAAAGATGAAGTCTATGAAGATGGTAGATCTTTGTTCATTAATATAACAAGAAATATCATCCTGTAAGGCAGAAGTCCCCAACCTTTTGGGCACCAGGGACCAGTGCCATGGAGAAAGGTTTTTCCGCGGACTGGAGGGGATGTGGTTTTGAATACTGCCTGCATCCCGAGGATGGAGCTTTGCTTATTTGTGTGGCCCATTTGTTGGCATGCTGCGAACCAGTAACAGTCCACTGACCGGGGGTTGGGGACCCCTGCTGTAAGGGAAACGTGGATGTAATTGTTGAGATATTTAAATTTTTAAACTGGTAGGAAATTTAGAAAGAATTGAGATGTTTGATGTCAGCCCAAGTGGCTATTTATAACCAAAAAGTAAAATTCTCACAGAATCTTCTTCAACCAAATGTATTGAAAGGGGAATTTTGGCAACTAGTCATATTTAGTTTAATATCCGAGTGTAGACTCCTTGGTCATCTTTTTAACCACTTATTGATACAGTGGGAGGTAGTTACCAGTTTCCCTGATAGACAATATAGATGAAGCTTTGCCAAGAATCTTCCTGATTTTTATGCACTCCAAATTGCCTTAGCTTTAGCTAACAAAAGAAATACTCAGGGATTTTGAGAGTTCAAAAATACCTCATGGGCTGCAATTCCGCTTTTTTCTCACACAAGTACTGACTGGAAAAAAGTCACTCCAATAATCTATAGATGAGAATGAATGAGAGCAGTGTCTCCCCTTTCCATTTGTACCTTCCCAGCACCAGATGATGCATAAATGAAAGGTAATTGATCCAGTATATAAAATTTGAGGTACATTTAATATTGGGTGTGTAATAAGACTGCTGCCCTTCTTTTCCTAATAGCGGTGATTATAACTAAGAGACTATTTCCAATTAATCATAATTATTTTCAGCAAGTAATTTATTCCACATCCCCTATAATATTGTCCTCAATCTTGTGTTACAATTATGAATTCATCCAAAATAATGAGACCTATTCAAATGGATATTTTTCCATAGTGTTATTTGCAGAACTATGCCATTTAAGCATGTAGTATTTGGGAAATCAAGTATTATCTCAGATATGTACTATTGCTGTACCCGTGTACTTCTATGGAGTTTCTTAAAATAATAAGCAATTATAAATATATGTTTGTATTGTTTAGGGCAGTGATGGTGAACCTTTTAGAGACCGAGTGCCCAAACTGCAACCCAAAACCCACTTATGCATCGTCGGGTGATGGGTGGGTGTGGCCCATTGGCTGGACGTGGCCCATTGGGTGGGCGTGGCTACGGTGGTAACGGCAGACTGGATGGGACTAAAAAGTTCAATCAATCAATTCCAACTTTGCAAGATCTTTTTTTTTCCGCGAGAAGTTGAAATTGACTGATTGAACCTTTTTTTTTTTGTACACAGTGGCGGAGGCCTAAAGCGAAAAGGTTTTATAAAACCCAGCTGAAGGCCTAGGACTGGGGCGACGGCGCACATGCCCACAGAGAGGGCTCTGAGTGCTGCCTCTGGCACCCGTGCCATAGGTTCGCCACCACTGGTTTAGGGTTTGTTCTCAAGGCATGCTCAAAAACATTATCATGGTGATTGTAACAGTATAATTGAAGTTCTGCCTTTTTTGTCTGCTGGACATACCGTGAAGCTTTGGTTGTACCATGACTGCTATCTTAACACTAAACAACTTGGTGTTGTTTAATATAGATATTAAACAACATGGGTTACCTTCATTGGACTGTTGTCTGTAAAAAAGACATCTGAACCCCCCCCCCCCAATATGTTTGACTTTGAGATAGCCAAAAGCAGTATGTTTGAATAGAAGGGCAAGACAAAACAGCTGCATAGTGATAATAGAAAGTTGAAAGTTGTAACATAGAAGCAGCAAGAAAACTATTTCTGTAGTCCAAGTGTTGGGTAACCAGAGGATCCGACAACCTGTTGGCACTGTGCTGGGCAATAAAAGGGCAATAAAGGACAGTGCTGGGCAATAAAATTACCTGGAACAAAATGTTTCCTATCCCTAATATCTCAGAGCCAAATAATGCAAAAGCAAGATAAAATAAAGCAAGGAGGGGAGGAGTAAACTTGTAATGGCAGTAGATCAGGATATTGATTCAAAAGAAATAAGTAACAATATTTATACACTGCTCCAATCTGCAGATTCTGCAACATCCATAATGTTTCCTTTCAGCTTACATAAACATTGGTGATGAAGGGTAACAACACCAGAAATTATGGAAAGAAAGCACCAGTGGGGAAAAAGTGATGGGAAGGTCAGGATTTAAAATGGCACAATTTCTTTTCTAGATAGACTACTTCTTGCTGTATTTCAGTTGTTTGGAGATGCAGTTTCTCTAATTCATTTCTGGCTATTGAAACATCCAGTTTAGTTGTGCAGTTGTAGAAATCCACAACAATTGTGCAAATATTGATGAATACATTCATATTCCTTTTTCAACTCAAATCAAGCCTTTGGAGAATTGTTTTTCCACTATGCATCCATTGTAACAGGCAGTTGTTTTTTTGGAGCTCCTCTGTAAGAAACCTGTATGAAAGGGGATTTCAGTTGACACTAGAGAGCAGTGTTCCAATATCTTAGGGGCTGCCACAAAGAAGAGGGAGTCAAGCTATTCTCCAAAGCGCCTGAAGGCAGGACGAGAAGCAACGGATGGAAACTAACCAAAGAGAGAAGCAACCTAGAACTAAGGAGAAACTTCCTGACAGTTAGAACAATTAACCAGTGGAACAACCTGCCTCCAGAAGCGGTGAATGCTCCAACAGTGGAAGTTTTTAAGAAGAGACTGGACAGCCATTTGTCCGAAATGGTGTAGGGTTTCCTGCCTGAGCAGGAGGTTGGACTAGATGACCTCCGAGGTCCCTTCCAACTTTATCATTATTATTATTATTATTATTAACATGCTTTTATTCATTTTTTAATACCTGTCAATTGTTTGTGTTAGGATTAGATATGAGAACTTCTAGCTAGCCTTATTTCTGATATAATTTCAAAAAAATTATCTCATATTACAGAAGCTTACTCTACTACCTATCTTTTCCATGAGTTAGACTTCAATGTCTATAATCTCCCAACTCAAGTCTGATATATTTCTGGATATGTATGTTTACATACACACATTGCCTAACAAATTCCAGTGCTCTTGTGAAGTCAGTCTCATGAGACAGCCATGTAATATATATGATTGTAATAGCATTTATTTCTAATTCATCCCAAAGTGCCAAAAAGAGTGCATTTCAGTCACTGTTTTTTGATCTACATTTTTCAATTAAACACTGGAAGAGAGACTTCTTAGAAACCTAGCTTTTCCTATTTATTTTTGTAAATTGTGAGATAACAAACTCACTCCAACTCTGCGAGTGCAAGGGGACACAGTTTGAAGGGCTACAAAATTAAGATGGCAACCCCTTTATGAGTCAAATTTTGTCCTAGCTCATTGGACTCACCTGGCAGATTGAGTATATTCTTTGAAGTTTGTCACTCTGTCTCCCTTGGTGTTCTCAGACTTTCGTATTTATCCTAAAATAAGCATAGACACAGAAATTAGTTACAACAGTCACAGATGTCAAGAGCAATTGACATTATAAAAGTCTATGTCCTAACTATGATGTAATCATAGCAGACAATGCAATATAGCAAATGGCAGGATGAAAATAAATCATGATTGTACAGCATAGCTCTTCTTTAATTTTGGTGATGAAAGCACAATGGGTCAGTTTACTTCAAAAGATGTTTGCTTTCTATCAATTGCAAAACATTGTATGATTAAAGTATTCCAACATGATTGCTATCTTCTGATATGCTTGGGAAAAATGAGATTTATTTATTGTAATCTACTCCTGCTTGGTTTTTTTTTTGCTCTGTTTCTACTAGGTAGAAATGCAAACCTTGTTTGTTGGGGAGGATTGTGGGGGGGAATATAGCTCTGAAGTTGTAAGTAGTTCATGTTTCTGACTTCCTGCAAGATTAAATTCAGGCATAGACCATGTATATTTAAAAGAGGAGACTATTTCATGTTTTCTGTTGGAATATTCTCCTGACCTGGAGGAGGTAATTAAATGAAAGGATTGTGTCTTGGTGTGAGATGTAAAACCTGCCAATCTCTTCTCATTTTCAATTTAATTAGATCACTTCTGCCCCAGGGCAAACACTTGCTCTTAGTTCAAGGAAGGCCAAGGCCATGAGATCTGGGTTGACAAACTTGGATAACCACTAGATGGTAGCAAGGAGTTATTGTTTTCTGTACCTCTTTGTTGCTATCTAAAGGTCCTCTCTAGATTTCTATAGCCCAAGAAATTTCTCTGAATCTCTTTTTCTTGTGACCAAAACATCCAAAGCTGTTTTGTGTTTTGTTTCTGTTGAAATGTGGCCAACCAGGAATGGGTAGCAGAGCTTCTGGAATATAATGTTCCTTTTTGTAATAAAAACAACACACTTTCTGTTTTATACACATATGCTTGAAAACATGGTATAATCCGAAGTCCAAATAATATTGAAGAGCAGGAGGAAGAGCCACAACCAAGGCTATAA